TCATTTGTATCGCGTATCCAGTGGTTACATGCGAAACGCAAACGTTTTTTCTTGTGCGTTCCTTTTTTAATTTTTTTTAAATTTAATTTTGTTATAATTAACGTTTTGTTTATAATAAATAATAATTATATCTTATTGAATCTGTGTAAATATGGACGATATTTCAAATAATATTGATGAGATTTTACACGCGTTGGATATTCCGATCGATAGCGATGATGATAATTGTGACAATTTTCTATCAGATGGCGAACTATTAGACGGACTAGAAGATTTAGATGTATTTCAAGTCGATTTACATCCTAATATTGAAGAAAATATTGATTTGAATGTACAAAACGATATAGCTATTGAAAAAGAAAGAAGTAAGTCTCCAGCGTATCGCCGAAAAACTCAACGGGTACTTCCAGACATTTCCAACAATAAAAAAACAAATAAACGTTTTATTTCACCGGTAAAGGTATATTCAAATATAGATTGGAAAAATGGAAATTTGATTATGAATGAGCAGTTTATTAAATTTTCTGGAAATACGGACGACTTACCACCCGAAATAAAAAAATTATACACTCCATTAGAATTTTTCAAATATTTTTTTGACGATATTTTATTAGAAAAAATTCTTTATGAAACTATTCAATTTAGTATTGAAAAAAATGTAAATAAGCCTTTAAAAATATCTTTGAATGACTTAAAAAAATTCATAGGTATTTTAGTGATGATGTCAATTATTAATTTATCTAATTCAAGAAGCTTTTGGAATGAAACCATAGGAAATAATATAATTCAAAATACCATGAGTGTAAACAAGTTTGAAGAAATTCGAAAAAATTTGCATTTTAATGACAACAATAAAATGTTACCTGCTGAAAATCCTGAACATGACCGTCTTCACAAAATTCGACCACTCATCACTTATTTACAAGAAAAGTGTAAAAGTATTCCATTAGAAGAAAACTTGTCAATTGATGAACAAATTTGTCCAACCAAATCACGAAGTTTTTTGAAAATGTACATGCCTCTAAAACCTCATAAATGGGGTTATAAATTATTTGTTTTATGTGGCGTGTCAGGGTTTTCTTATAATTTTGAAGTCTATACTGGTTTAGAAAATAGCTCGGAAAAAAGATTGCCATCCGAACCTAATCTTGGAGCGTGCGCAAATGTCGTTATGAGACTTTCAAGACAATATTTTGACAATTACTACACAACGCTAGCAGTTATGGTTGAACTCGCTAAAAAAAATATACATTGCTTAGGAACATTGCGCAAAAATAGAATGCCAGGGCTTCTTCTTCCAAATGAAAATGAAATGAAAAAAAAACCAAGAGGATTTTCTGCTGAATGTTTAGCTGGAGTAGATGGAATACCTATTACTGCTATCCAGTGGAAAGACAATAAAACAGTATCTCTTTTATCTACATTTGTTGGAAAAGAACCAATATCAAAAGTACAAAGATTTGACAAAAAATTAAAGAAAAGAATTCCAGTAGAGTGTCCAAAAGTAGTTCAGGTCTATAACAAACACATGGGGGGGGGGGGGGGTTGACCTTCTAGATTCCATAATTGGTAGATACAGAATCGCTATGAGAAGTAAAAAGTGGTATTTCAAACTGTTCTACCACTTCTTAGATAAGTCTCTTGTAAATGCATGGTTGTTGTATAGAAGAGCATATGAAAATGAAGCCACAATTCCACTAGCCAAATTTAGACAAGAAGTTGCTGTTGCCCTTTGTCAATCTGGAATAATAAGTACTCCGACACGAGGAAGAAAAAAAAAGAAGAGACAAAAAATTATAAAAAGCGAGGTAATAAAAATGTTTACATTATTATAATGCATACAATTAATAGTTTAATTTATTTGTTTATTAATTTATAGGTGTCCAAACACACGCACCCTCACGGGATGTAAGGTATGACCACATTGACCATTTTCCTAAAGTTGGGGACAACAGAGTAAGGTGCAAAAATAAAAAATGCAATAAAAAATCATTAGTCAAGTGCATTAAGTGTGACGTGTATTTATGTTTAAATCAAACAAATAATTGTTTTCTGTCTTATCATCAATAATATTGATTTCTGTATTTTTTTTTTAAATTTAATTATAATTAATGTTATATAAAAATATATAATTATACCGTTTTTGCTACAAAGAAGTAGCAATATAAATTTACTAATAAATATAACTTTATTCGTATGTTGTGCCATATATGGAACAATTGCGAATTCTTATCCTAAAATGCAAATATTTGTTGATTATTTTTTTTTTATTTTTTAAGGTATTTATAAGGTATAAGAAAGTAAAAAAAAAATTATGCAGTGTATAGTTTCATTGATAAATTTAAAAATAAATTATAGTCATAGAATTAATAGTCGTTAAGTTTAAATACAATTGCTATGCCGATAGGTTGTTTGTAACTACTATCGATTGATAATGGCTATCTTCTCAAAGAACTAATCTATGTTGTGAAAAATTTAGAGAACAAGTCAAATAAAATAAGAATTTACCGTGAGATTATTTTACAAGTAATTAATTCTAATTACATAGAGAAATAATTATGAAGACACAGCGTTCCTGATGAGTATAGAGCTACACTAATACCTTCGTTTTATTTTTCTGTTATATCATAATTTATTCAAATATTCTTTATATTATTATTTTCACAGTGAGTAATGTTTCAATAGCAAAGAAAACTATTTCAGCAACCATTGATATATTTTGAAAATATGTCAGAAATAATCATAGTATCAATGTTGATAAAATAATTCAAATAAAATAATTAGGCATCATCAAAATTATAAACTAATGTCATAATATTAATCTAAAATTTAAAGAAATGATTTTTAAAAATAAAACTATATCTTATAAATAATATAAATTGTGAAATTTGAAGTTTTTAAATAAGATGTATCAAAAAATAATAATAATAACCTCGTAAAAAACAGACATTTTACTCTGGATTAATAATACTCGTATATCTAATAATAATTTACCTCTGGATAATGAATTTCTGCAAATTATTTGTTTAATATTCTACTGATTACAGATCATCGCCCAAAATATGAACATACATAAAAAATGTAAATAACATATTAATTAAAATTAATATATATTGTAAAAGTTATTGTAATAACAAAAAAATATGATGAAATAAAATAAAAATAAAAAAGTTAAAAATATAATAAAAATAGGTGACCAGACAAACACAAGGGACACAAGCCTTGGATGTAAGTCCAGTGTTAGTAATTATTTAATACATTTTCTCTCGCGTTATTACCTTTATTCTGTTCTTATGGGGATTCTCGTGGTCTTGTATTCGAGAATGTATAATCAAGCACACCGTTACGTAAATTAAATAATAAAAGAACCCGTACTAACAATAGGTATTTTAGACATACACCTTACCTGATTCGCCGCAATGAATGCCTATTGTAAGTTCCCCGGAGAGAGATATAAGCTGACATAAATTACGAAATGACTTAAAAAGAACTTAAATTTAAAAAAGAAAAAACAACTCTAATTTGACTTATAAAAAAGAAGAAGTCCAGCTGTCGCTCGCAGAATCTTGTGTGTGTGCCGTGTGGTGGTCTTGGGAAGAGCTCTTGCTCGCTTGTCTGGTGCGCCTGCACTTGATAGCTTGCTGGTCGGTGCTCATGCACTCGATAGCTTGGCTGGTGCTCATGCACTGATGAGAGAAGACGACGTGGTCAAGCCAGCCAGAGTCACTGGTGGCACCATCAAAAGTCTCCGCGTTTTCTAAAGAAATAGGCTTTCTCCTAGACGACAGAGACCCTCATTGGACCATTCCTTGTCTCTGGCGGCATACGAAATTGGGTCACACGCTTTGCGGCACATTGCTACAAATCATGTGTCAATCCCTTCGTGATCATATAATATAAGTCGTTTCTTTCATCAGTGGTGAAAGGATGTTTATGGGGTTTTAATCTGTGTGCGCGGGCGATTGTAAACTCCACCGATTTACAGGTAGTTGATTTTAGGGTTGGATTTATAACATGTAAATTCCACCGATACATTTTTTTCGTCATTTAAGGCAAACAATATTACCAGTATACAATTCGTCAAAGCTGCATCTAAACATTATCAAACCAAATTTTAAAACCAAACGAATTTTTTTAAAACCTAAATTTTCTTTGATTAATTATTTTTTATTCATTTATTTTAATTAACATTATTTTAACATCGAACTAGTGATCACTATTAATTATTATTATATCATTTATTTTAATATTGTGTAAAAAAAGATATAAGTATCTAAATATAATATATATAAATAATAAATTTTTATTAGATTTTTATGATTTTTTTTTTTTAAATTATTGTTAATTATTATTAATAATTATATATTTTTCAATTTTCTATTATTGATATTTGATTTTTATGATTTTTTTTTTTTTTTAATTATTGTTAATTATTATTAATAATTATATATTTAATAAAAATATAATACATCTGCACCCACATAAATTATGTAAACTTAATTAATCAGATTGGATTTGGATTACAATTTTAAAAAAAAACATACCAGTGGAGTTTACATTTTTTTTTCAGGTAAAAAAAACGTACCGGTGGAGTTTACATTTTTTTTCAGGTAAAAAAAACGTACCGGTGGAGTTTACATGAAAAAAGGTCTAAAAAGGTCGCAATCGGTGGAGTTTACATGCGCCCGTGTGCGCAACTTGACCGTTATTTTATTTATTTGAGTTTTATAGTTATATAATATACAATGATGTGTGAGCCTATCATTACATTATTTTTAAATTGCTTCAATAATCAATATAAAAAAAATATAATCATATTCTGTACTCTTTACAGCATAATATTATGCAATAATATTACTATAATAGTATTCCTATACAATCTGATTTAAATCACTGTTCAAAAGAACTAAAAATAAAATTACTCCAAAATATTAATTATAATTGTCTGTTATCTATTATACTTAGATACCTAATTTCAAAAACATAAGTATTTTGCAGTGTAACCCAAATTTTGAAATATGTTACATTATTATACATGTACTTTATCAGTACATTTTTTATACATGTAATATTAACCATAACTTTACTAAATAACCGTAATATAATTAAAATTGTGGTCAGTAAGACTGTTACAACTGTTTTTTGTATAATAATTTAATTAGGGTTTAATTATCGTCGGTTGGTTTTATTTTGCTTAAAATCTTAAAGCTTTTGGTTTCTCTTAATTTTCTGATAGCTAAACCAATCGGACAAAATCTTTTCCTGAAATTATTTAATTTTCTAAGCATTCTTCTGAAAGAACTAGTGGGTTTTTCTTCCTCGATTTCTTCGTCAAGACCACCTGTATTTGAGTTTATGCTTACAAGTTGAGGTCTCTTGATTTTATGAATTGGTTTCATGAAATGAAACATAACAATAATAAATCAATTAGTAAATAGTGTTTTTTATATAATTTTAAATACAATAAATTGGTTTTATGTAACTGATTTCGTTATTTTTTTTAAATTTATTACCAAACATCTTAGTCGATCTTTATGATAGCTTATGACTAATGAGTATTGGCCATTTATAATTTATTATAATTATTACAAATATTTTAATATTTGCTATATAGTAAGTTATTTTTTATACGTTTCTATTGTTTTTAAATATCTACTCACATTAAATAAATATAACACAATTACAGTCCAGACACAATTATTAAAGGAAATAAAATTATTAAGTATACTCTGACTTAAAAAATCATTTAGAATATGAACATAAACAATTATAATATATAATATAAAAAATATTAGTATAATAAATTATGAGAAAGAAACTTTTTGATAAAATAGATTCTTAAAAACATAATAACGTAAATTGTTTTTACAATATATTATTATGTAGATATCTAAATTATACGTATAGAATTGATATCAGATTCTACCTTTTTTTTTCATCGATTCATTTCACCATCAAAACATGAAAATTTGGAGTGTCTGGCAATGTAATGCCCAGAATCCTAAGATGTTTATTTAAAATGTTTATTGTTTATGGCTCAAATAATTAATGAAAGAACGAAATCAGTTTTGTTAACGTGGTATTTTTAGGAAATAAAAATTACCGCCAGTCTCCTTGCCGGATTACTTGAAGTTCTGGCTATAACCTTATCTTTAGCATCCTAAAATAATAAGAACATCATTCGTGAAAATGTAATTATATTATATTAATTCAAATATAAGTTATAGTAGGTGTTTTAAACATTATAGACTACTTTGGGAGCTTAGGGTGAAGATATTAAGAGTTAAGACATAATTTTCCAAATAAATTGACCGTATAGTATACTATATATTATGATTTAAAATAATAATATTATATAATTTATATTCGCTAGGATGGTCATAATATTATAAGCGAAATTGTATTTCTGATATAAATTAAAAATAAACGAGGCTGTTATTATAATGTTATAAAGAAATAAATAAACATAATATTAATTATAAATAATAAATTACTATAATTATTTATTTTTAGTAAGTATAGTAATCAATATTATAATAATTATAGAAATGTGAATTTGTGTTGTAGTTCAAAAGATTAAACATTAAACAATAATAAAAGGTTTTTATAAATCATGTTATTTTTAGCTTGGAAATATAAACTTCATAGTCTATACCACTATATCACCACCATACTTTTAGATATCAAACAAATGTATGCATTTGTTTCACAAGAATCAAAAATATCTCAATTACTTTTCTGCAGCTTATACATATCCGACTTCCCCATAAAATGAACACAGAAATACCTCTATGTGCCGATGATAGTGTCATATATTATTCTAGCTCTGATAAAATTGAAAATTTAACAGAAAACATTCAAACTCATCTTGACGAAATCCAAAAATTGGTGCATAGATGGAAATTGGTTCTCAATATATAAAAAAGTACAGCAGTTATTTTCTTTTTTCGTAGACCTAAAAACTATAATACTTTAAAGCTCAACGGATAACAGCAGAGTCTCATAATATTAAATATCTTGAAGTAATATTAGATAAAACCTTACCTAAAACCCTCACATATCTTCCAAATTACATCAAAGTTACCAACATTTAAAAATATTGCATCCATTTATAAACCTCAAACTTCATTGAGATGGAAGTGTTCACAAATGTTTTATTAATAAATTATTTGTCCTCTACAACTATATGATGTATCGGTCTAGAGTCAATGTGCTTAAACTCACATTAATAAAATATAAGTCCTTAGTCCTGCAATCCAAAATCCTTTATTTTAAACATTTCTTGGTTTGTTCTAAATGATGCGCTGCACATAGACTTCCAAATTCCAATTATCAAAAATTATATCGAGGACTTATCGGTAAGTTGATTAAACAAAACAAGTGGTCCTTAACATTTTGGGCTAAATGTCCATCCTAACAGACTCCAATGTGGTCATTTTAGATTAGCTCTTTAACCTTACTATAATAAATATACTATACTTTGCGAAATTGTATTTTTTATCGTACACTGTTAAATTCATCAAATACTGTCATTCGTGTTAAGAAATGAAAAAAAAAAATGTTATTTGATACTTCAAATTTTAGATGATTTTGCTAGAAAAATTTAAAAAAAAAAATCGACCATAATCCATACTTAACTGGATAAAATTTCCATAAAATTTCAGGTTTTAATAATTATTGAATAATGTCTGTTGTAACTTTCAGTCCCATGAACACCAATTATCGTACCTATTATAAACGATAATAAGATCTATACATATTTTCCCTCTCATGTTCTCTTAAATACATTGTATTATTATGATGTCTAACTGCTAACCATATTTTATATATAAAGTATTATTTTTATTATTACTATTTATTTATTTATTTTTATTTTTTTTTTTTTTATGAAAATTACCTTCTTTGCAGGCTGTACTTCACGTGGTTGTGATCCGCTTCTATTCAGTGATTGTACCGGAGTTCGGTTTTTATTTGTTGGTGGTGGACAAGTTATATACTATATATTCACAAGAAAAACAATAGTTTAGTATATAATTATTAGCTGTATTGACAATTTTGTTACCAAACTATATCAGATATTAGGTTTGTATAGCTTCGTTGATTTAAAAACAAAATCTTTTTTTTTAAGTTCATTTTACATTAGTATCTAAGACCTATTTAAGCTAATTATTAATTCAGATAAATAATAGACATTTATGCAATTAAGTGTTTATGCCTTAAAAATAATATTATAATACATTATTTCAAGTTATTATTTGTTCTTCGAATTTCCACTTAATATTTTCAAATTTAAAGCAATTATATTAATAGTATACGTATAACATTTATTTTAACTTAAAAAAGCATATCAATTATACCAAATTGTTTGTATTTAAAATTAATTGTTTTCTTACATTTTAAAATAAACAAAAAAAAAAAAATTAAATTATTTTGACACATTTAATGTTCTGTCTACCCCAATAAGGTCTCCTATACGGCTATACGTTTTTAAAGTATAAATATAAATATAATTTAAACATATGATAAAATACTGTTTAAACTTTAAATATATTATCTTCTCAAATGAAAATCAGTCGCGAACGTGTTATAAATAAAATGAGATAAGAAAGACTCACTTGAACAAAACAACCAATCACTAACATTGATATAACCACACGTTTAGAAAACATTTCGAGGTATTTTTTTTTTTAAATTTAATAAAAGACCAAGTTCGATAATTGTATTATTTATTTATTTATTTTTTTTTATTTATAGAAAACTAAACTGACTACTGTAGCAGATTATAACGATTTAAAATGTTTTATATTTTTTTAGTTTGTATTAGAATTATTCATAAGTACAATAATTATTTTATTCACACATAAAAAAAAAAAAAAAAAAAACAAATGTCGCAGGAAGTGGTAAACGGCAGATATGTATAGTATAATGACATAAACAATATGCTAATTATTATTCAGGAAAAAAAAAAAATTAAAGAGGTAGATATTTTGTTTTTGCTTACTGGCACTTCTAAATTGTAAGTACTCGTTTGTATCGTTCACTGTTAGAAATGATAATAACAGTATATTATATTTTTATTCGTACATTGAAACGACAACAAAACGTAAATTTATGCATAACTATGGTTATTGCAAATGTTGTAAATGCATAAAAATTATAACGTAATATAATTATAAATAAGTGTCTATCTACGTTTTTAATTGTTTCGACAAACCTATAGTGTTATTACAGAAATTACATGTATAAAAATAAAACCAACTTTCTGTTATCAAAATTATCAAAGTAGTGAGAAAGAAGAAAATCACTTAATGATTTCATTTTAGATTCAAATTTGATCTATATTTATCAAACATATTAATGTAAAATAATACTTTCATAGTATACAAAGTATATTATTAAACATGATACAATATCTACCGCAAACTGTTAAAATTTAAATATATTGATATAGAAAATAAAAAATGTACGACTGTTAAAACATAGAATAATTAAAAAAAATTCAAATCGGAACATTCTACTGAACGTAATGATTGAAGTCACTGGCAGTATTTTTTGAAAAAAAAAAATGTTTGTAATTTTATAAGTTAATATGTGTTTGTAACCCCTATACAACGTGATCGTAACATTCCAGGAATCAAACACAATTGATTAATGATTATTATTTATTAGTATTATAATAATATATACAAAATATGCATAAATGTTTAGGTAATAGAATTTATTGTATGAGTATTAATTATATTATACACTAAACAGGTATAATTAAAATTATTTTTGTATCGTTGTTATTCGTTATTAGAAATATCAAGTAATGATGACGTAAACGACACGCCAAAAATGATGAGTAAGTTCATATGCGATATCTTATCATAATTATTATTACTATTATTTTTTTAAATTAAAATAATAATTTACAAATTTTTGTGATTTTGAAGAATTTTGTCAAAAGTCTTACTTGTCTTCAGACACTCATAAAAATGTAATATGGATTTACGCTCAACTTTTTTAAATTTCCACTACGAACAACTTATGAGAAAATTTGTACTAAATTTTCAAGTTTTTTAACGGATTCACGACAATTGAGCGCAGACAATTGAGCGCGTGACAATTGAGCGAAGACTATTGAGCACACGACAATTAAGCGCTCCGAAAATTAAGCGCTAAGATAATTAAGCGCAATATATAAAAAATAATAAATAAATAAAAAATATATTATAATAAATTTAAGTCATAGAATGATTAATAATATTATATCTGAATACAAAATGTCAAACAAAAAATGTATAATAATAATTTAAAAAAATAAAAAAGTAGGCATAGTATAATTTATAATACATTATGAGCCAAGTTAAACTATTAAATATTTTGAGCAATGCCTTTTAAAAACTCTTCAGTTGATCTAGAATGAAATTGTTCACAAATATTTTTTATCCTTAATCCTGAATCTTTGTATTTTTTTTTTCTTGGTTTTGGTTCATTACCTGCAATAAATTGATGAATTCTCACGCGATTCAACTTTTCCTCTTTTTTTAGAGCGTCGATAAATTTCCAAATTGATGGATGAACTGCATTTAAAATTGATTTAAATGAATTATGCCATCCTTCAATAGCATTGTTGGTCCTTGGTATATCATTTTTAATCAACTCATAACAGTTCCATAATTTTATAGAAAACTTTGGAGACCTTCGTTGCCTGTTACGACTTATACGACCTATCCACGTGTCTTCGAAATAATCTAAGAAAGGTGTCAATATTGTTTCATGTTCTATATAAAAATCAGTTTGTAATTGGTCTTCGAATGCAGTAATAACAAACTCTGGAGGAACATATGCTAATGCATTTAACATTTTAATATTTAATGCAAACTCGGAATTTTCACGGTATTTTATGGCAAGTCCTGTGTTTTGAATATGTCTCCATATAGATTGACAAAAGTGGAAAAAACAGCCATTTATTTCTGTTTGAACAGATTTATTTATAATTTTATCATTTCGTGAACAGCAGTTAGTAAAATATTATAGCGCTTAATTGTCGCAGTGCCCAATTTTCCCCGCGCTCAATAGTCTTCGCCCAATTGTCTGCGCTCAATTGTCGCGCGCTAAATTGTCGGGACACCTTTTTTAACTAAGCAAAAAAATTTTTTGGACAATAATTTAAAAAACAACTGAACTTATTTATTTTTATTTTTCCTAGCGTTTTAGAAAACTATTGCGAATTTTCACTATCACAAATGTTGATAACAGACAAAGTAAATAATATAATAATAATAAGAAGAAAAACACACACACTTTGTAAAATCAAAACAATTATTACTTCGCTCAGCATTAGTCACATAAGTTTTTGATAAGATTTAGATTTTTTTTTTTCAAATTGCATAGGTACTTTTTTTAAATCAAGTATTAAACATAAGGGTTTTGAATATCCATTTTCAGAAAATATGATGTTAGTCGATGAAAAAGAAAATGGATTTATTTGCGATTTTGATTTCAAATGTTTAGTACGTGGAATTGTTGAAAATATATATTATTATATGCTGTAATGCAGTTTTCTTTTTTAAGTAGGTTTTTAAACACTGTGGAGGGTGACTGATTGCATCAACCGCGCTACGTCAGCCAAACAATCAATTATTACATCAAAATCAAACACATTATGTATTATCTATAGGTGATATCTGGATTCTTCAACGAACGGATGAGGCAGACAGTTTTTGGACTTAGGGAAGTATGAGCTCTTGATTTGAGAGGTATGTGTAAATACACTCGTATAATATTTTTTTTAAGTACTAGTATTTTCATTATATGTTTGTTTTATGCTATATTATTCTGTATTTATAATTATTGGGCCATAAAAATAATTTAATAACAATTATAAAATAAAGAATTTTATTGTAATTGTAATTTTATGTTATAATATTTATGGGAGGCGTAAAATAAGTTAATTTTAGTTTTATGGCATACAACAAAATGTTTGGGAACCACTGATCTAACTACATAATTTTTTAAAATAAAATAAAAATAAATACGAATAAATAAATATTTTAAAACTTATATTTTTTTTTTTACGTATTTAATAATTATCGTGCTAAATAACCATTTAAAAAAAAAAAAAAAAAACAGTTTTACTGATGTGTCATCGTTTAAGTACTCTTGTGCGTTATTATTGTAGATATACATATACATTTAATTAGGATATTTCTGTTTAATTTTTTTATCAACAAAATCAGCTTCTTGATAAATGATCAATTCTAAATAGAGCCAATCGTACATAATAATATATTAGTAAATAACGCATTTTGCTAACCATTTGTTGTAAAAATCAACTCTGAATAAATATTTGTATCTTATATTATAATAATATGATCAAGGTTTTGGATTTCGTAGTAACTAAGGTTTTCATAATGAGTTTCAAATATGTATTGCACACAAAAATAATCAACCAATATTCATTCCGTTTCAAAAATTGTAATATTTAGAGATGTTGTTTTCCAGTTATAGATAACTACTATAGTCCATGTCTAGGCAAGTTAATCTAATTTTTCTTTTAATCCAGATAAGTTAAAAGTTATATGAAAATGTTCAATTAACTTATAAATTTAAGTCAAGTTATTATTATTATTATTTTTTTTTTTTAATACATAAATATCCAGTAATAATATAGCTTGAAATAATAAAATTCATAAATATTATTAAGCCCAGAAAATAGATTTATTATACATAAAACTAAATTTGGAAAATTATAGTACAGATAAAAAAAAATATGTATTTTGTACCAAATGCATGCAAAACTAATATAATCTTTTGATTTATAACAGAAAATATACATTTTTAAATAAGTAAATGAAAATAATAAAATGGAATTTAAAATATATATATATTTTACTCTAATGTTACATATAATAATGCACTAAACAGTTGTGCATTGTGAAAATCAAGAACGATAAGTGAACTTTGGAGGACTATTTTGTCTATTGACAATATTAGCTACTTATAAATATAAACATTTTATTTTTTAAATAGATATGAGCATTATCCAAAACAGAAATATCTAATTTGATTATTTATGACGAAATTTTTCATAATATTATTCTTGGGAATTGTATATTAGTGATTTACATGCTTTACCTTCTACCCATATCATATTAATTATTATAATTATTACTTATTAGTATTTTCTAATTATTATTAATTATTATTATTACAATAAACTCGTAAGTCACGGTATAGAATGGTATACTTATATGTATTTAATTTAGTTATTTTTATTGAACAATTCTGGAACGAGAATTCAATTTTATTTGTATTTATTTCTTATCCAAATAAATGTTTACGCAATAGGTAAATATCATAAATCAATAATAATTTAATTATATTTATCATTAAATATTTATAAAATAACGGAACTTGGATATAATTAAAAGTAACTCGTTATTTATTAAGTTAATATCAAAAAAAAAATCATTTAAGTTAAAAATTAAGTTAATGAATATTAAATTTAAAATAGCTAAGTTAATAAGTTAAAATTTACTTAACTTTTAACTTAACTTAATTTTTTTAACTCGTTTATGTCCAGGCTTTTTATAGTCTAAAGACATACTTATAAGTGTGATAGTTGATAATATGATATTTAGAAGGATAATGAAAACCAAAAATATTGCAAAATAGGAGTTTTCAATTTTTTTTAACCGAATAATTATTGTAACATTTCTATTATTTTCCACGGGAAATGAGTGTTACTGCAACACTTGCGCATACAATTTTAATCGTATTATGAGTCTAATTACCGCCTATACAGATAAAACACTAGCGAAAAAAACATAAAACCGTATGACCCACCGTAAACTGTATACTAGTCGGTGATTTTATTAATTCATTTCTCAATAAATACAATTTTTGAACTGTTTAATTTAAGAACCTGAATAAGATGATTTCCAAACGAATTTTAATATCAGCGATTTTCATAATATTTTTGGTCCAAGTGAGTTTCACCTACAAAGATTTCTAATGTTAAGGTTTTTGCTTACGTGGTATTTTTTTTTTTTTGTCTTTATTAAATAAGAGTATTTACAAAAATTTAAAATCACATAATGTTTTGCTTTAAGAATTAAAAAAATAGTTGTTTTTAATACTTATTTTTGTACCTCATTGCTTAGCCAAGAAACACAACTCTCTAGATTGGTCAAGTTAAATAATTTGTTTCATATTTTTAAATCTTAGTTAGTATAGACAGATATATGTTAAGTTTAAAACTAGTAAAAGTTATAAGTTGGTTAGAAAAAAAAGTAACTAATTGGATAATAGTAAATAATTAGACTTCTTTTTTTTTTTTTTTTTTTTTACAATTAAAAATTCCCAGTCTATGCAAAATTACAATAAGTTAATTTGATAAAAATATATTTCTATGCAAAAATAAAAAATGTGATAAAATAAATTTGTTGAAAAATAAAATAAAGTGAAGCCATCCTATGATTTAAACTTCAAATGAAGTTGATTTTGCTGATTTTCAGTTAAATTATTTTCAAAAGATCATAAAACTATATATAAAAAAAAAAAAATAAAAAAAAATAGTGCATTAAATATTTCAAAATTCTAGAATTTAATATTATCAAAAAAATAAATAGTATGGATAATGTTATGCAATTAATATTGATTTCCGATTACTACTTTTTTTTCCTATAAAAACAATAATTTGTACAAAACAAAACATATTTTAAAATGGGTTTTTACATATTAGGGAAAAATAATAATATAACGTGACTTTAAAATGAATTAAAATGCTAGTAACTTAGTAATATCATGAAAACTAATTTAACGCTTAGATAAGAAAGTAACTTCATTTTAAAATTGTATATCACTTTGATTACTTCATTGCGGAATCGATAAATTTAAAATCCAAAACTGAGCTACATTACGATTAAAAAACTAATATATTAAAATACGTTAAGAGAATAGATTTTGTTAGGTTCATTATTTATACTAAATAATATATATGCTATAATATGAATTTCTGAGAATGGTGTTTGTTAGTATAATGGTATATATTATAATATACGTACATTGTATATTTTATGATAACATTTCAATATAAACCACAAATTACGGGAATTTTATTACTTTTGAAATGCTAAATTATTGTAATTATCTCATAGTTATACTAGTTAAGTGTTCACTATACAGTTTATATTATTATTGATAGTTTGTTTTAAATGAAAATGTTTAGTTTATAACTTGTCCGACGACCACTGAACTAACAGATTTAGCTTCACCTGAAACTAAACCTAAGGCAAAATATGCATCTACATCTAAATCTGGAGCAAGTAAAGCAGAAATTACAACTACTGACCCTACGGTAATATTATAATTACATAAAATATAACATTTGATTTTGTTAAAAAAATAATAATTCACTATAATATTATTTAATATGACAATAATATGTAATATTTAATATAGGTACATCCATGTTTCTCATAGTTTATTTTTTATCAATAATAATTATTGACAATTTTTTTTTTTAAGCATTTCCTGTGAAGTTTTCTAGGTAATAAATGGTTTATTTTTTTTTCCATCAAAATAAATCTATAATCTATACAGTTTCGTACGTTAAGTAGGTTTGATAAATGACCTATAAAATAATTAACATGCATCTTAAGATTTCGAAGGTTACCCAGTGATAACACTTTACAGAGTGACAATATAACAGTGCAATTTTATGATTAGAAAGGTATTTTACCTGATATAGTAACATTCAGCACTTATTTTACTCAGGTACATCGTAGATCCTTCACCATTTTCTTTTTAGTCTATGAGCGGGTTATTTAAAAATAAGTTAGTTGACAATTATTAGTGATTAGTGAATTTGTGTGTGATTAGATCTTATTGTGAAATATGGTGTAGTATGATTTGGAGATTTGGTTAAGATTTGGAATTTTAAGATCTTTGTAAAAGTTGTGGTTGATAAATAAATTTTGTAAATAAATTAGTTTATAAATGTTAAAGTTGTTTTGTTATCAACAGGACCTAGAAATAGACCAGGATGATGAAACTATGAAAAAATCAAATAAATCAAATGGCCCATACAAATATCTCTCTAAGTTTATTCAATCAATATGTTGGCCTCTACGATACTTTTGGGGAAAATTAAAAAACCTATGTACAACAAATTAACAATAAAAAACAGAAAAATCTGAAACACTAGAATTTAACACTAATCACACTAAAAGGTTAATACATGATAATAATAATAATAATAACAAATGTAAAAAATAAGTTATTGTATATAAATGATTTAAATATTAAGAAAAAAATATTTCTTACTATATATAGTAAGTACTTATATTACTTTACTTATATTACTTAAATATTGTTAATAATATTTTCCTTACAGAAAAACATTGACGTTCTGTAGTATTGAGTAGGGTGTAACTGTAAACAAAATAAAATAATACATTAATAAAATATATAGGATGTTTTTGGAAAAAATATCACAGAAAACTATTTATATTAACTATTATTAATAGTAAAATGAATTACTAATAGGAATATAAACATATAATAAAATATTCATAGACATCATAGACATACACGCTGACAAACTATTTTTACTCAGCATCGTTTTTCGTAAAAAATGATTGATATCGAATTCAAATTTAACACACCCATTACAAATAACCGGTGTTACTTACAGCGTTAATTGGTGCTTATAAATTAACTTAATTTTGGGTAATGAATTTAGATTATCTACTACTGATGATTGTCAAGTCTCGACGATTATTCATTCCTGAATCATTCGCTTAAAAATATTTTCTACATATTTTAGTACACAATTAAAGAGAATCTATTATATTATTCATAGAATCATTGATGTTTATACATAAATATTTAAATGTCTTTAAAACTTTTAAATCTATATTATTTTTAAAATATTTTGAAACTTCAATAAATTATAAATTTATAAATATGTTCATTATAACTAAATAGTATTATTTTTATAACGCATTTACTTTTTTTAATTTATTTTTAACACATAGTTTTATGATATGAAATTGTGCCCAAAAAAATATTTATATTCACATTAGGACCAATTAGCAGGTCTGCGAGGGAAGTGTAATATGTTCTGAATTCAAATCATACACATAAATATTTTTATTTTTAACCATCATTAATTATACAAATATATCTTTATGACCTTTTAGTGCCCTGAAAATAATGTAATTTAAAGTAATTTAACTAAATGATAAAAATAATGTATAATGCCTAATACTATTTAACTTAATAACACACTCCAAAACAATTAAAATAAAAAAGTATGTTTCGCGTGACAAAAAAAAAAAAAAAACCTGGTATTGTTTAAAAGTTATAGTTTTTAACTACAAGTAGGTGTTTACATTATTATGGAAAATGTATAATATTGACGCACATGTGAATTGATTATAATTGTGCATAGATATGAACATGTTTGTGCACAGAAAATATACACACCATAATAATAAAAAAAAAATCATTAAGTTATTTTGTGGTACGTCATAGTGATTTATCAGTGAGTTAATATTTTCATTTTCTTTCTCTTTTTATCTCTCTCTAAGCTTTAGTTCTAATAGAAAATTTAAAAGACGATAAAATGATTGCTACACAAATCTTTATTTCTATGATTATTTTAATTTCTCCAATCCATGTGAGTTTCAACAATTTTAATCATTTTATTAAACTAGATGTTAAATTTTAATACCTACTGTTATAATCTACTTATTATTTTATCATTAATAAAAAAGTTTATTTTCAGTATTTACACATTACAAAACTATTGTAATTATAGGATTATTATATGATGGAATAACTTTTCTTTAATAATATGCACCAATTAACTATATTTCAGGGATTTGTATTTGAATAAACCAGAACTCGTAATATCCATAAAAATCCTTTATAAATACTAACTATCAAAACAAACGTAACTAAAAAGAACCATCTTCAGGATAACAGGGAAATTCAAAAGTTTTCATTTTAAAAACGGCATGTTATATGATTTTTTTTATTTATTTTTTATTGTTAATTCAATTTTGTAATTTGTTTTTTAATGGTGTAATATTTTTTAACTTTTAAGATAATCAACTATTTTTTTTTTGTTCATTGCTAAAGTTTTATTTCATAATAATATTCTATCAAAAGTTCTATTAATTAATAAGGTGTTAAGTTTTTTTTTTTTTTTTTTTTAATTTTAAAAATATATTTAAAATCTGTATTATGCTATAATATGGTTAATATTTGCAAGACTGGACAGCTTGATAGAAGGGGGTGTCCAAACAACACTACTTCAATTAAGGTGTTAAGTTAAAAAATAAAATATTACCTGGACTAATTTTCCTCCTATATTAGCTCGATATAAAGGTTATAAATACAAAAATATTTATTTTTTATCCCAATGGCTGAACATTCAAAACCATTCTCTATTCAAAATACAGAGGTCAAATCACTAAAATTTTTATTACATAATGTATATGGTATATCATTATACTATATTAATCCATTTTATTTAAAAGTTGTTGTTTTTTTTTTATTTATTATTTTATTGTTTATAACCTGTCAACCTGTTACTGATGGTGTTGCAACAAAACCAAAAATGAGTAACTTTGCAGTTGTAGATAATAAAATAAACACTTCTACGGTAGGTAATTTGTTTGATTAAAGTATTAGTTTTAATATTTTTTTTTGTTATAGACTTCATTATATTTTTAACTGATATTAGTTTTATAAACTCTAATAAATATCTAAATTAAATTTTACCCACCTTTAAGATTTTGAATTTAGTAAAAAACATGTACCTAATGAAATTATTTATAATTAAATATTGATTGCACATCATTCTATTGTCTATATTTTATTCTATTACGTTAAAACAAATTAATTTTTAATAGAAATGAACTCTAGTTTTTGTTTAGGATGAAAAGATTAAAAGAGTAACAGATCAATCAAATCTAGGGCAAACATCAGCTCCAGCCAAAATTCGTTCTATTGTGTCCAAATCTATTAGTTTCCTTTTATGGCCTGCAAAGAAAATCTGGAAAGTAATTAACGTATTAATACCGTTACGTCAAAATATCAGTACAAGAAAACAGGGAATGGGAAAGTGATAAATTAAAATGAAATAATTAATATTTCAACTGTACTTGATAATTTTTAAAATTATATTAAAATCGGTATCGTTCAATTAACACACAAAACAATTGTTTTCTTTATAATTATAAATTTGTCACTTTATTACTAGAAATCACATAATTAATAAGTACACGCTATTTTATTTAACATGTTTTGTACATGCAGTTAAGTTAAATTTTACTTAGTAACTTTATTTTTATATGGTAGGTTATACCATGTATTATATAGTATATACACAATATATGAGTACACGTGTAAATAATATTTAAGTTGAAATTCTGTTATTATCTAACTGTTTTAGAGATTTAATAATTTTACATTTTAATTGTTTGTAAGCTAACATATTTGATATAGATCATAGATACTATTTAGTGTATAAAAGTTGAATCTTAGCGGAATAAAATCACTTAAATAACCTCACAAGTTCAATGTGACATAATAACAACATTAGAAAATAATTAATAATTACAAGTAATTTAAGCATAGCAACAAAAATATCACGATTGACCATATCAAATGTTTTCTTTAAGTTAGTTAAATGATGTCAAACTTATCATATTAGTAAACATATAAATTAATTTCCACTGTAATAATCATAGAAATATTTATGATGAATATGATTTTGTTTTAAGTACAATTTTTAAAATGTCAATTTCGAAGTAAGGTATCTTTAATAACAAATTATAGTTTACATGTTATTGTGTATAAAAAGCTTAAAAATTACAATAAAAATATTACTTACCATAGTTAATGATATTTTCAAAATATCTGTAAGACTGTAATAGATACGATGTAGCGGACAGACCGTCTGGTGACAATGAACGGACACCCGAGAGGATGGCTAAAGTATCCCCAGCACCGTTATACTTCTACGATAATCTAAATGATCTAATACGATAACTATATCTCTATATGTAATATGTATATATGTATAGAGACTAGTTACTATAGTATGTATAAAACATAAAATTATAAATATTAATAAATAAGTATATAAACCATAGACCAAAAGTAGCAATAAATAAAAATAAAAAAAAAAACTTTGAGATAAAAGCATACAGTATACTTCTGTGATATTTTGATATTATGTACAATAATAAAAATCATTGCTTTAGAAAAACGATTCCGAGTGAAGATTGATTAATAGTTTTACTTTTAAGTTTAGGTAACCTAACCTAGGCAACTACTTAAAGGTGTTCAGCTACGTTATTAAGAATACAATGTATGACTGGTTAAAGTCAAGTAACTGTTGATCTTTGAAGACTAGTTCTAAAGACAATAGTTTATTTACGTATATATTTTTGTTTGAGATTTTAGACACTGGTTCAAACTTGTTCAGTTATAATTTAAACAACATTTGACAAAATAAAAAAATATCTTTTTTATTGCTCAAAAGCTTAAATACATAATCATATAAAAATAAAATAACTATGATTTATAATACAAGGGCTATATATATATATTTTTTTTACTGGCAGTTAATATGTAAAGTACTTCATCTATTTGAATATCTCTGTGTACATAGGCGTGCGCACGGGAGGTACTGGGTGTGGCTGAGTATCCCCCAACATGTAATTGGGGGCCCTAAAAAGTAAAATTTAAGTCCAATAGCATTATATATATATATATATAAGCCCATATTTTAACTGATTTTATTAGAATAAAAATGTTATTCTTTCTAAAATATGTGATAAAAAATAAGTTATATTTTAGGATAAAAAAAAATGATAAAATGTAAAATATTTTAAGTATTCGCGAAAATAGTTTATTATGATTATAATAGCTAGATATAATTAACTACGAAAGTAATAACAATAAGTATACATTGAAATTATAATAGAAATAAATATTAGATCCAATGAAATTTATAACTTGCCTAATTAGTACTATACAGTAATTATATACCAATGATAAATATGTCAATTTAAAATTGAAGAAAATACCTACTAGGTTTTTTTGAAAATGTATTCTACTCAAAACTAATTGTATGTATATATTATATAATGATAATAGTAATGTTTAAGTGTATATTCATACAAATACTATTAAATATTAAATGTAAAAAAAAAAAAAAAAATTAAAATATGTTTATTGTTATTTTTCTTTACCATTATACATTATTTATTATCATTAAATTGAAAAGTAAGTTACCTACTTAATAAAAAAAAAAATATATAAGTAATATTTATTCATAAATTATAATTCATCAAATATATATATATATATATATATATTGTTAAGAAAGGGTCCAAAGTTATGGAAGGCACTCCCCAAAATTGAGGTCTGCGCATGCGTATGAATGTTTAGCAAAGTCAATTTTACTAACCGATCTTGCCTCATATTCGACCGCAACTAAATTTTTAACCTAAGTTGATAAAGCAAAGCATAACAAAATAAGTAAATTACCATGCATAAGCCAATAAGCAAATTATTATTTGGACATATTATATTGTAAAATTGGTCAGTTAAAGCTTATAACAGATAAGAAAATTATACTACGATTTATCAATTAAAATTGTACTTATAAATTATCAGTGATATGTGGTAATATTAACTTAATTATTTTGTAGAGAATATTTTGATTTTTTTCTTGATTATAGACTTAAAATTAAATATGATTTATTAAATATTCTTTTTTCTTAGAATATGAACTTGACAACATTTGTACTGTAACAAATTATTATTAGGTACTAATAATAAATTATAATTTATTATTGTCATATGTACAATTTTTTTTAGATTTAATTTCTAAATTGTCATCAATGAAATTAATAGAACCTTTTTTCCCCTTTTTAAACACCCATTGAGTTAGTTGTAACCGTATTTGTTGGGAACGAATGATAATCGAGTAAACATAATTTATAATTATGGATTTTATTTGATAATAAAGCTTCTACAAAATAGTAAAGATAAATCTAAAGGGGAATACTTTTATTGCTCTCCACTCAAATATGCCACTGTTTATCTCACCTTTCGATGCCCTTGCCTGTCTGTCGTTTGGTGCTTGTCAAACGTACGACGTGATCGTTTATGTAGTTTTTTTTTCACACAAATTGTCGATTGATTGCCTTTTTATACAAATTGCGTATACAATAAAAAAAAAAAAGGTTAGAAAGTGGATACCACTTTGTTGTATAGTAAGTATCAACTGGTTCACTGAAATGGATGAATTAAATTTTAATTTAATAATACATCAAATTTCATACTAAAATTGATTCTAAGCATGAGTAATAGATCATAAAAAAATGTATTTTTTTATTGAGAAATGGAATATAGGAAAATGTTACAACAGAATAGTAAAGTAAAAAAAAAAAGTTGTAACGAGCAGATGAATATACACCACCAATAGAAAATAAAAGTAACAAATAATGATATGAAATACTGATGGTAAAAATTATAATAATAGAGAACAATATGATAATACTAATTCATAATACAATACACTTATTGAGTATGGTTATTGGTTAGTGCTTAATGCTTATCATAGGTAATGTGTTGTGGCGCGTAACTACTTGAAAGCCAACGTCGGTAGGGTGAAATAAATAAAACTCAATGGAATAGCTTAATATTTTTTTATGTAATATAATATAAATCAAATGAACAAACGTTGCAGATAACGTGGAGGCAACGCATCATGAAGGAACCACAGAATAAAGTGGAACAGCGTAACGTTTCGAAAACGCACGGCTCTCGTCCGATTAATGAGGTAGAATACGATGTAATAGTAGGGGTCGTTTTAAGTTTTCGGCGGACGTCGATCACGTGTTTAACGGACGGTTCATTGTCGGGAATGAAATGTACCTACAGACGGCTATAAGACATAAGCGCTAAAGATGCAAAAACGAAATATTGTTTACGCCAAAATTTGTAAGACCCAATATAAGAAGTAAACGCAAAAGGTGGAAAAATTACATATTATTTACACCAAAATTAATTGTCAATAATCGTTAAAATATAAAATACATGAAAATAAATATAATTTTGATAAATTGGTTGATTTTTTTAATCTAATTTTTTTCATATATTCTACACGACTTATTTCACTATTTTGATATTTATTCCTATGTACAATTATTTATTCGTGAGTTTTTAAACGATATAGTTTTAAATTTAATACATTTAATCTCTATTATTTAATATTTTTTAACTGTGACATAAAAGTATTTAGGAGATTTTGGAGTTTTTGTACGGCTACGACTTTTTATTTATCTCATTTTGTTGGTTATATCTTCCACCGGTACAGACGTGTATTTTCGAGAGGATGCATCAGTGAAAGAAGGACGAAAAGAAACGGTCGCAGCAGATCTGTCACAGCGGACATGCGACTCACCATCGCCCCGACAGATATGCGGACCTCGTGGAAAAATATTATGGTAGTTATCTGTCACAGTACTAATGCTAATCATTAAATTATTGATAATAAATAGAAAAATAGAATAATATGTTGTAAAATTAGGCGGCGGCAATGGTCGACTCACATAATCGAGCGACAACGAATATATAAACGACCTTACATTTGTGCAGGAACTCGGGCTGGTGATTTGACTGCGGGCAGGAACGACACTAGGGGATGATTTGAGAGGCCCATGGCTGGGGAACGTTGAATGAAGCACTGACAGGAATAGGGGGAAGAGAAATAGTCCAAAACTCATGAAACGGCATTAAACTGGTACCGCAGGTTGAACAAAAACGGCCGAATAGCGGTTATAAATCGCGGACACTTCCGGAAAGTGTGACTACGGCTCTTGATACTCATCCCAACCTAGAGTAGTTGCCCACGAACATGCGGATAAATAATATTTCGTAGTATGCTTACTGCACTACGGCGAAAAGACTCGATAGTGGAACACATCCGAAATATTATATCGTTGTCACGAAAAACAATAATCGATACGAACGAGTCACGAAATCAGACCAAACTTTGTGGCTGTGAGGGGCGGGTGGGCATATTGCATGAACTGGTCGACTGAGCCTGTTGCGCGAATCAGCTTTACACAACTTAGAACAAGATTTTTAATACGTTCTTTTCTTTTTTATTCGGACTCATTGAACTTTTTTGGATGTCTGTTCTGAATCAACTGTTCGATCAAACTTTCTGTGTCATTCTGAATGTGCTGACCTAACCCAACCTCGTTGGAGTCATAGGGATGATGATTACACATTTATACATAAATGTATTTATAGCTGGTTTATCAAGCGATCATAAAAGCATATATACCTATCTCGATTATCCGATATCGCGAACTCGTGAATAATTTGTTATAATAGGAAAATATAACATTCGTATATAATACTATTCGAACACAAGTTCATTCGAATAGATTTTTTTTTCGAATACTTTTCATTTAAAAACTTCCTACATTATGTAATATATTGTAGGTGTCATTTTTTTCTATTGATGCCGAAAATGTGGTTTTTTTTTAAATTGTATTGCGCAATATTATTCAATAGATCAATGTTTAGTATAAAATACAATAATTTTCATTGATGGCAAAGAGAACAAAATAATTAAATATACGTAATTCATAAATGATTATATCTCTTTGTTCGATGTATAATATATAGTTAAGAAAAATAAATAAATAAATAAATTAATGCTTTTTAAAACATTTGCTTTTATCATACTTTATAAAATATGGATGTATTATAATCATGTTAACAATAAATTGAATACAATAATATTATATAAAATATTGTGTCAATTATAGCTTTTAAAGTTAATTTTTTTTTAACTACAGTAATTATTTATGTTACTATATTAACCTACTTAACATGAACTTTTAACTTTACAACATTTTTATGTAATCTAATAAATTTTTATCACTCGTCGTAGTATTAAACAGTTTTATTAGAACTTCGTAGACAGAGACCGTTCGGTGTTAGTGATCAAGTGTATATTTAGCCAACATTTTTTTACTATATTAAACGAAATTAAAATGATTTCAACACGGTTTTTTATGTCAGCGATTGCGTTACTAATAGTGGTCCAAGTAAGTTTGACTATTTTAAATTATGTGATATAATTAATAAAAAATTAATTCAATATATAGACTAGTGATAAATAACGCACGAATCTAATATTTGAATATTACCTACTTTTTACAATATTTAGAGTGTAGTAATTGAAATGACTAAATTTTATTGTATTGTAAGTAAATTATAACCTTCTAAATTATTTTAATAAATGTCAAGAACATTATTTTTATTAAATTATGAGTTCACAAATATTAATTTACTGTTTATTTTTTTTTAGTAAATATAATATTACGTAGCTTTATATTAAATACTTACTTATTCTCTCACATAATGACATAATATTATAATGTTTACAATATTATGGTGTGTGTATAAAATAATATTATTGTCTAGATTAAGTCGTTATTTTTAAATTTAAGGCTTACGAAGCTTCACTTTTCATATCCTATACCAAGGCTATGATGTTTAAGTTTTGTTTAATCAATGGAATACAAAACTACACCCAACAGGCAATAAAGCGTTAAATATTAAACAGTGTTGTTAATATTGAACATTCCAAGTACCTTAATTATTTTACCTTAGACGTTTATGGCCCACTTTCATTCAAATATTCATAATTCAATTGGAATATTATAAAATATACATCATATTATTATAAACGTTTACGTTGATTTATTTTGTCATTTTTTTAGTGCACTACTTGTTTAGATAAAACAGATACAAATGTTGGTGCTACCAAACCTAATATGAAATTATATATTGGCGACAGTAAATCTGAATCTCTATCGGTAATTTTTTTATCAATAATGTCTTACAAGTTTAAACCTTAAATATAATATAAATAAAATTAATGTATGTTTATTATTGTAATAATACTAATTATATTGATGAATTATATATCATAATTTAACACCATAAAACGATTGTTTCAAAATAATTTTTTATCGAAAATCACTAAACATTTACTTTAGAAAATAAATATGTATATATTTTATTATTTTAAATTTAATGTTATTACTTTACTCTAATGTTTTGTCATCTGTCATAGGACGAAGAGGAAACGACCGAAGATAATTCAGAGGAAAAAACAATGACAAGTAGCGTTCGTAGTTTAATCACATATCCCGTTGAAAAAATTCTTTCGCCTATAAAAGGGGTATTTAATTCACTGAAAAACGTCGCGAAGAAATTTAATCCACTGAAAACAGCAAATGATGAACCTTTGGAAAATTCAACAAAATAATTAATGAATAGCAGTTTTACAATATTATGTTTATCAATACTTATTATAATAATACAAGTTATGTTGTAACGGTTTATTGGAATTAATTAAATATTTCTTGTTAAGTATAAACAAACGAAAATATTTTATTTTGTGTTTTCGTGCCTATCGATTGGTTGATACGTTTCTAGAAATCTCGTAAACAATATGATTTTCTTATTTTGATTTTTATTCTGTCAATCGAAGGATCTGAAGATGCATTTTAATTTGTGAAATTTGAGTATTACAAGATAATTGACGTGGCATAAAAGAATATACGTTGCAAGTTTTCACTGTTTTCAATTAAAAACAATGGGGAAGTTGGTAAACACCCAACTGTACAATAGAAATTGATTATCGAATTAACCATGTCATTGATTAATTCCAAAAAAATTTAAAATAATTAAATTAGTTTTAATCTTCATGCTTAAGTCACTGTGATGTAAAAGTTATTTTGAATTTAATGATAAATCATATTGTGTATGCAAAACGGTTACCTATGTGAAAATACAGTAATAAAAGATCAGTAGCTGTGTGCGGTGTTTTATCGTTCGATGTACCTACTTATTTTACCCCGCAATGGTAACGTCAAATTCCAATATTACAACAAAAATGAAATAGAAAATATCTGTTAATGAAATGCAGGTGATAGTATTGTACACTACCCAATGAAAACATTAATTTTCTTCTATATACTTGTTTGCAAAGATATACGTGTACACAATTTTATTTCAATTCGTTTAAACAGTAGTCGTTTTTCTATCAAACTATTCAAAACGTACATAATTTAAAGTTTTTACCGTTTGAAATTTTTGGGATATTTTTTTTTATTATTTTATTGTTATTATTGTTTTTGTATTCATTATAACCCGTGTGTATTATAATTATTTTTTATATTCTAAGATAATAAATAAATCCAATAGAATTAACCAGAAAAGTCAGCCTATATTAAGTCTTGCGTTTTATATTTTTTCGACATAGCCAGTTATTTATACTCATGCTAAACCTAATGACAACTGCTCATTTAACTAATGTTTGTTTATGAATATCAAAACAATACATTATTACAATTTTTTTCATTTTCAAACTGTAAATTGTATGTATTAGTGTAATCAGTAATTATTTTTTTTTTGTGATGATTTGAATTTGTATTATTGAAACACTTGTATATGTTCTTGTAACAAATTATTTAAAAACTAGTTATTTATAGTATGTGCATGTGTTTAGTTTAAATGTAAAAACGAGGAAAGCGTGTCTGATAAAAAAAAAAAAAAAAAAAAACCGAAGTTTTTGGAAACACCAATCATATTATATTTGGTATAGATGTCATTTGGACATTTTTCGATATTTTTAATCAATAAATAATACAAAAAATAATATACATTTCGTAAATTGTTAATAAACTCTACAGTGAAGAACAACAGTGGCTTGTTAAAATGATATTTTCCAAGCAAAATACTATTATTTTTTCATTTATTGTAATATTTTCTTTAGTGCAAGTAAGTCCTACCCATCTTAATAACTATTACGTTCGGTATTATTCGATATTCGATTTTTTTTTTTTTTTTTACATAATTTAGATGATTTAATAGAAAAACCTTTAATATACTTAAACTTAAACATTGTATATAATTGAAAATTAAGTGATAAATAATAATGTTCTATATACATTTTAAAAGACTTTATAATTTAAAACTATATTTAATAATGTACATTTTTAAGTATCTGTGTGCCATTTTTATTTAAAAATATTGAACTAATTGATTCTCATAGTGATTTATTTTATGATTAGTTTAGAAATTGTGAAGATCCTGACTCTAAAGTACTTGTAGACTCTGTAAGCAATGGTGGCTCAAACAAACAGGAACCTGCTAATACAGCGCAACCTACACAGGTAATGTTTATAAATTAATTTATGTATTAAAAGTACAGTAATAGCTAAACTAAAAATTAATCTTATAATCATTATTTGCGTAATTGTAATTGCGTACTTACTAATAATATGTTTTAATTCAATATGAAATTGTAGGCTATTATATTAATAGTAATATTGTATTATTATTTATTGAATTGAATTAAAACAGTACATATACAATAAATTATAAAACACATCTAAATTTAAAATCTTGCATTATACATTATAATTAATAGACTCAGTGTTATAATTTTTATTTAAAATATTATTTAAAAAAAAATACATATAATATTATATATAATTTGTGTTGGTAGAAATAATATTTTGTCACATTCCAATTTATTTACCGGCTAACGACTGTATTCTAAAACATACTGGTGTTATAATAATATAACTAATATAAGCTACATTGTAACTGTTACTCGTGTTTAATTTTATGTAATATAATATACTGAGTATATTTTATTTTATCCATAGATAAATATTGAAACAACATCAAATTCAATCCAACAACCATCAGCAACACCAAATAAAAAAAACTTATTTTGTAAATTTATTCGTACGCCCTTTAATGCATGTAAGATGGTTTTTGAAGACACAATCAAATCAATTCGGAATAATTTATTAAAAGTCAAGAACAATATTATTTCTATGTATAGACCACCGGTCACAACTGTCAACAACGTTGTTGGTTGATTTGATTGAAATTATCCGTGTTATCATGTTATTTGTTATCATTTAAATATCTAATAACATAAAAAAAAACAGAAAATATTTCGTTTGTATGCTATGATCTTATCCAACCCTTGTTAGGCAATTTCAAGCGTTTACCACTATTAAATATTCATCATATTGTGTAAGTACTATCTGTGTTGTACTCTACAGACTACAACCAATGTATAGTTAGCTGAATATATTGAGCCGATTGAGTTCCGACCGTGAATGGTTCCATGAACGATCGGTTGAGTAAGCATCCAAAATTCGTTCTGTTGAGGATTATAATATGTCCACTCAAATTTTCGTTTCAAGATAAATCCAAGTGGCATGAAAAAGGCTAAGAGACCTAGCTTATAACTATACTTGTTACGAAATGTTAGGATACGAATAATCGAGAATCACTATACCAGCGAACTTATCGGTGTCAAGAGAAGACACCGGTGTTTGTAATAATTAATATCTATACCTACGACTAAAGCTAATGTGATATAATACTGCAAAACCAACATCTAAATCCGATGAGATTAGATTTTAAGTTTTATCATAATAGTTATTAATAATAACAAGGTTTACATTTTTTTTCTTGTTTAACCGACAATAGAGGAGGCTCTGTTTGCACAATACTACTCCTCTACTGCCATCATTTATTGGTGAATTAATCAATACACATGAGGTTTACATTTAACGTAATGTATTATGACTTGTACAGTTCTTTGCAGTCTGTTCTCTAACATCGTAAATGTGTGCACTTATTTTTGAATTTGCTGAGTTACTTCTGAATATTTATTAGAATAAATCCATATATTATTATGATTAATAAGTGATATAAATGAGTTTCTAAAAATCCATTTGAAAAATGCGGTCGAAATTTCATGATATTTATCAAACATATTAAACTACATAATATAATTCCAGTAAGTGTGTTATATTAATTGTTATACGTACATCGTAATTGAATCCTATTTTTAATTTCTACAGGGTTTTTTTTTTATTGAAAATCAACAGAAAATAAAAATGGCTATTAGTTACAACATGTTACAATTTTTTTTTTTTTTTTTTAATAACTAATTTATATTTTCTGTTAAAATATTAAGTTGCATAATTTAGATTTTTTAAGAATTTCAAAAATTGTTTGATGTTGTCTATATCCGGTCCGAGTGCTGCATCTAAGGTGTTGGGTATGTTACTCTGGTCATGTATGTGTTCGACTGTCCTGAAAATTGTTATGGCTTATTGTTATCATTCTATTATCACATGGGTTTATTAAAGGTATACTCATAAATCATAACATTGTTTATAAATAAATGTGTATATGTTAAAAAAAAATTATTTTGTAATCCTTTGGTTGGTTTTTTTTTTATGTGTGCAATTGCTATATTATATTTTTATCATTTATTTTATAAGTTTTTACCTAATTTAAAATTAAATAATATATAGTCCTAAATGAAATTTTAAATTTAAAAATCAATTATTTTGATTTTATTATAAGTGCTATAATATACACATATAATATTTACTATTAATAATAAAAAAAAAAAAAAAAAAAAATTGTAACTAATGGCTTTTGCAGCCGTTGTTTTTTATAATCAATAAAAAATACAATAAAAATATTTACTATTTTTATTTTAGTCAAGTTATAAATTATGTTTTAATTGTCGTATGTGTACAAATACATTATGTTTATTAATTATATTTTAAGATTATTAAGATACCCACATAATATTTTTATTTAAATCTAGTTTAAGTTGGTACTATATTATTTTTGTTTACAGTTTATATAAATTATTTAAATTTAAGTCCAAACAACGTGCATATTATTTAAATCATAAATTAGTCACCATAGAAGATTCAATAAATGTGGTTGTCCATTATAAAATCGATGTAAATTGGTTTTATGTGCTGAACAGTTAAAAAATATTTTTTCAGGTTTAACTGAATATGGTATAATTTTATCTAAGCTAAAATTGAAGCATTATAAAACCCGATCATAATTATATTAAAAAGCTGTGAAAATAAACTATTTTTAAAATTTAAAAAACTAAAAAAATGTGAGTACCTAATATATACAAAAAAAAATGATATAATAAATTGATAATGAAGTAAATAATTTAATCATTTTATTGAGATTATCAATTAAGCAAAGCGAATACATTTTTGTCATCTCAATTTTATGACTTCATGAGTTGGAAATTAGTTAGTTCATACACCCCTATAATTTTTTTTTGGAATGATCCTGAGAGCGGTATTGCCAGTGCCGGATCTAACATTTTTTTAACCCGGGGCAAAATATGAAATTGGCGCCTTTTTATATCAATAACCTTTTTATTTATTTTTTTTTTTACTTATTACAATATTAGAAATTTTCGCCCTTTTATGACTAGTATCCGGGGCACATGCCCTGGATTGCCCCCCCCCCTAGATCCGGTGCTGGGTATTGCTAAATAATGGTGTACCTATTAGCCTATATTTTCAAAGGATATTTCCCCATAGTATTTTTAAATACTATTTATTCTTGTTTAATTTAATTATTCACTGTATGTATTCCTTTATGCAGCCATCTTCTCGTGTATTTTGTTTACAAGCTCCGGATAGACTAATAAAGCAATCGAAAAAACCTCTAAAGACCACTAAAATGTTTGGCTGGTAAAAGAAGAAGGCCATAATGTCGCAATACTGCATTATGATTTTTATAACTAGGTACTAAATAATAGTATGATATATTTTATAATATGTACTATTATAGTAGTCAAAGAAATAATGCAGAATATTGACTCAAATACTCGGTGTTAATAATATAAACATTTGTCATGTCCTGACTAGTTGATTCATGTATCAACGCAAGAATAAAAACGTGGTGTGTTAAGTATAATATTGTCTTTATTAAACATAAACTTAAAATACAAAAATAAAATAGAAAGCTATAAAGGGGATGAGCGGTATTGTACGACTTGCCCCTCAACGTCACAGGTATCTCTAATCGTCTGCCGAGCTCTTGCTACAGTTTTGTTTTTATTTAGTCATATCATTAAGAGTGGTGAATGTGATGGAGGCGACTTTACCATACAAAGCAAAATTTAATGTCTCGTTATATAATTTAGTATTTTGGTCAATTCGCATATTCATAGACGTCAACTTTCGACTTTTCCTGGAAAAGACGTGTGATAATAGTTCAATGGTTTGGCTAAAGCAGTATAATGTTCACTATGCTTTCTGCTCTGATCTCAGCATGTTCATTAATTATTATGTAACTGCACCATATTATGAAATGTGAGCTATAGTATTAAATTATAATGTGATTCATAGGGTGTATAACACATTAAACTATGTACTGGCTTATAGCTGGTATTTTGTTTTTTCCAGTAAACAACAATATAATGTTAAAATGATAAGTTTGTCATTATTTATTTTTACTGTCACTGTTAACGAAAATGTTATCGTTTTCGTTTACCAATTCACAATTCATATTCCATAATTTATAACCTTTGTCTGTCAATCTACAGTAAAAGTTTGAGGTATTCATTATTCATTTTAAATATAAACTTTTAACTCTTAATTCATAAATCGTATACCAAAAAATAAATAAAAAATGTGACTCAAAAAATTTGGTGAATAAAAATTATTGATTAAAAATCCAGAATAAAAAAAAATAAATTTTTTTCACCTGATTTATCATTTGTCCCACATTTAATTGGTACTTAGGAAATCTTTTACGTAGATCTACAGAGACCAAAAACCAATAGGGGGCGAAGAATAATCAATATTTATGAAATGAAAGTGTCTGCAGACTACAAGTATTTATGGTACTTTTTAGGTATCTTATCTTTTAAATTATAAATTATTTTATTTTTGTAAGATTTGACCACCCTAAACCTAGAGAAAAAAGAGAATAATCTGGAGTAACTCAAATGATATTTTACAAAACATCAATGCACAATATAATTTTCATAGATAGTATATTTCTTATTTTTACTTAAAATTTGTAACAAAAATTAATAAAAATTAAAAAGTCAATAATCTATATTTGGCTAATTTCAAGTTCAAAGCCATGGGTATTGAAAGACAAGGGAGACCCCAACAAGCTATAAAAGTGTATCTATATGTAGTGGTATGTAATGGTTAAATAGGTATTAGGAATACATTTTATTGCTTATTAATTTTATTGACATTAGTAGTAATGTTTACAGTGTGTACACAGTATGCTTCATGTGTCTATTTAAGATGTACATAAATCACATTCAGTGGAAAATTATTCAAGCATGCTAAGGATTAAAGATCAGTTGCGTGCTTAAAAATTAAATCATAAGTAGAAAAAATTACAAAAATTATTGTATTAACAATTATATGTAGAATATTTAAAAAATTGTAATGCATGACAAAAGTGTTATCGATATCTGTCATACATGTGCTTATTGTTTTATTGTTTAATATAATTTTTATCGTAATTTTAATTGATAGAGCTTGCAATAACTGTTTGCGAAAGCTACAAAAGCTTGCTATTGCTGTGAAATGCTGATTATTTCGAAAACCCGTTTCACTAGCAGCTGTAATACTAACTACCCAGGTTACGTTCATTTAATTTCGCTTCGTCTCTCATAACCTTACTTATGTTAGAGTGTATGATAATTTTTTTTTCGTTTTAGTTTGTTTTGCTAATTTTAAAATACTATTTAGTAGGTACCTACAATAAGTATATTATTTTATATTTTAGAAAAATTGATTTTATTTGTATATAAAAAATGCAAAGATAACACATTTTCATTAACTTAATTAAATTGTTTACTCAATTAAGCATTGTAATAAATTGAAAGTAAAACCTTATTTTTAATACTTAATCTTGATATTAATGTATAATTCTATAATTCATTATGATAAATTAGAATACCCACACTTTAGAGTCAGCATTTTTTTCTGAAATAACATGTTAAATTTGTCGTCAAGTATATTAATAAACGTATAAAGTAATAGAGTACGTAATATTGAATTTTTTTTATTATTATAATAAAAAAAAAAAAAAGTAAGAAACTAATAAATTATAAAAAACGCTAAGAAATGTGATA